CACACACACACACACACACACACACACACACAGGCATAGAAGAGTAAACGCACAGAAGAACATGGAAGCACAATGAAAACAAAGCAGTCATGAAATCTCATACAAAAGACCGAACAGTCATGCTGAAATCGCATATAGAAGCCGAATATGAAATACATGTCGCATGGTACGAGTGTCGTCAACACTCCGTCACACTCGTACCGAGTCGTACGGACTCGTATAGCCAAGGGCCGCGGCCTACATCGCTAACTAACATATCCAGAAAGAAAACCGGAACAAACACCTACGTAATACGACGAGTCGCAATGAAGTCCCACCTCGAACAGAAACCCAAGACCAACACAAAAAAATGACACGCCGTACATGAACCAAAAACATAAAACAAAAATGAACTCTCGACGTCACTACCTCAATCTACCTGCATGCTAATGTCCATGAACTGGTCCTAAGTGCCTGAAACCTAACTGTATGTACATCATCCTAAACAATATACAGAATGGTCGACAGACAGTGATGGATGAACGACATATACGCGAGATGGAAGGGGAAAGAAGTTGTCAAGACCGTCGACCTCACTTCCCCTTACCGCGGTCTCTCCGCCTCTCGCGACCCGAGCCGCCTGTCCGTGACACACCTCGTCGGCTCGCCCCGGTCGCAGCGGATGGTCCTCGACTCCTCGTGCGGGGTCTCGTCTCACGAAACTCCTCCTGCCGTCTACCAGAATCACGCTGTGGTCGAGGGGAGGCTCATCGTCATCGTCGCCGTCCTCCTCCTCCTCGTCATCCCTCTCCTCCTCCCGACTCTCGTCGTCCTCTCTGTACTCGTCATCCTCAGGCGCGTCCTCGTCACGTGCCAGCTCCGTCTCGGGATCGTCCTCCTCTACGATGACCTGCTCATCCCCCCTCCTCACCTGAACAAGCCTAGTACTCGCCCGAGTGACAGCCTCGACAGTCTTATCACGACGAGAACCCCGCGGCATCCCCAACCCCTCAGGTCTTGAAGACTTCCCCAATGCGGCACCACCCGCCGCAGGCACGAGACGCGGACCAGAGTCACGATATGCTGCGCTCCTTCACGAAGTCTGGTCACGCATAGCACGTGCTGCTGCTGCCAAAGCGTGTTGTAAGGTGGAGTCGGCCTCTACACCCCCACGAACATGTCGCGGCTGAGAAACTGCCGCCATGACCTCCCGGGCCACACCCCTCCCGGTGCCACCCCCACCCAAACCTGGCTGGAGTCATGCAGTGTGCACTGTTACCCAGCGAGTCGAGTCCAGGTCGATATCTGTCCTCCCGAATAGTGTCGTGTCAAAAGGGAGGCTCCCTACGCTCGTGGTGTCACGGACCCTGGGTCTGTCAGGCGTGGATGGTGAGCGGAGGTGTGCACGCGCTGGTGTCGAGGGTGAATCACCGTGACATGATCTCGGAGGAGGAGGCGGCATGCCTGGTCTCCATGAGTATGTGTCCTCCTCCCGTGTGACATTACGCACAGTAGCCCGTGCGAGCTCTGCCGCATCAAATGAGCAAGCAGTATCCTCAGGAGCTCGCCGCCCACTAACGGAAGTCTGAAGCGGTGGCTCTGATCCTAAATCCACCACTATGACCGGTGGTACCTCGTCAGGTGCCACCTCCTCTGAACCTGAGCCATGCATACGTGGTCGAACTGGGCGTGTCGTCGTCGTCAGCTGCATGCCCGCGAAGTGTACCAACGGACCGCTACCTCCCGGGATCTCTGCAGCGGCTGCATCGTCATGATCCTCCTGAGGGTGCTCTCGTGCCTCCGTGTACGAATCCTGGAGGCTCCTGCGAATGCCTGCTCGATGTCCTCTACAGAGTAACCAGCAGCCGCTAGGGCACGCGCTATATCCTCTATGTCTGCGTGACGACTCTGACGAGGGGTGGGAGGATCCCCGAAAGACATCTGAGCAAAATCCCACATCTAATCGCCAACCGCCCCGCTCTCTCCTGATGGCGACTCCCCCAGTGCCCTCATCGTGCCCGGGGTCAAACCCGATAGTGCGGGACCCACGTCATCAACAATGAAACGCTCAATAGTCGGGTCAAGGGTATCGCTGCCCTCTCCTCCGTCATGGGCGACGTCATCTTCTACCACGTTGTCCTCTCCCTCAACCAGCGCAGTACCATCTGCCCTGACCACATCCTCCTGTCTCTCACCCTGCGCAGCATTGGAAGGTATTGCCACGCCCTCCTCTCTCCCAACCTGAGTAGTCACGACGTCCTCCTCTCTCTCTACCTGTGCACGATCATCCACCTCCACTCCCACCTCCCTCTCAACCTGCGCACCATCATCCACATCCACTCCCGCCTCCCTCTCAATCTGCGCACCACCATCCACCTCCACTCCCGCCTCCCTCTCAACTTGCGCACCATCATCCACCTCCACTCCCGCCTCCCTCTCAACTTGCGCACCATCATCCACCTGGACCACCTCCACTCCTGCCTCCCTCTCAACTTGCGCACCACCATCCACCTCCACTCTCGCCTCCCTCTCAACCTGCGCACGATCATCCACCTCCACTCCCGCCTCCCTCTCAACCTGCGCACGATCATCCACCTCCACTCCTGCCTCCCTCTCAACCTGCGCACCATCATCCACCTGGACCACCAACACTCCCGCCTCCCTCTCAACCTGCAGACCATCATCCACCTCCACTCCCGCCTCCCTCTCAACCTGCGCACCATCATCCCCCCCTTATCTATCATGCAGCGTAGACGACAACGCTGTCCGCCCTGCTCCCGCTAACTCGTCCCCCATACCTCGAATACCCTCAAGGTCGTCAACTCCGCTCGCTCCGTGCTCCTCCGCCCGTCTCTCCCTCACCACCGTTGTCCCGCTATGAACACCCTCCTCCAAAATGAGCTGACGGGCTACGCTAAACAACGATCCATGGCCGCGTATGCGCAACGAGGATCCCAAGTCCTCCCTCCTGACCGCTGATGGTGAGCGCTCAACATGCCCTATGGAAGCAGTCTCGCCGGACGTCGGACGATACTACTGAATGACGAGGAAGATGCAACTGCGACGAAGGTTCGGACTCCGTCGCGTGAGTACTCGTCCGCTCGCACGTCCTCGTAGGAGCATGAGTCTGCTGCTGCGAGGTCGCGGAAACAGTCGTCTGTTCCCACACTGTGGCGGTAGGAGCAGGCATATGCTCTCGCGCGGGAGTGGGTGATCTAGCCTCTACTCCCTCGAAATCCCCCGCCCCCAGCGTGGTGTGTGGCCGCTCTGCCCTCTCGTGCGAGTCGCCGCCCTCCTCGTGCAACTCGTCAATCTCGCGCGGGATGGGAAGCGCGGGGTCGTCCGCACATTCCCACTCCCTCTCGTCCCCGGAGGCATCATCCCTGGGTATGGCCGGAAGATAGCCGCACGAGCACCGAAAACAGACTCTGCAGGGGGCGGCGCAGAGGACTCGATGGGATCGTGCGAAATGAGGGCAGCCTGCTCCTCGATCTCTTCCGGCGTCATCGAGCTCCTCATCCCCGAACGCATGGGGTCCAACTCTATGCCTGCCTGAGCGTCGAGCATACCCTCGTCTCGCTGCCAAGGGAGAACATACCCACAACCTGCACGTCTGTACTCCATCAACCGCACATTTGCGGTGATCTCGACAAAATGGACGACCTTCTCAAAGGCCAACTGGTTGCGCTTCTTCGTGTGGATGCCCTCGTAGACCGCCCAGTTCCTCTCCGCTGGAGTTCGCTGGAGAGGCGCAGGACCACATATGCATCAAACGAAGGGCGCAATACTGTAACTCAAGCGCGTCTCCCCCGTACTGAGACCACCAGGACGCACACTCCATCGTCTCGCGGTCCCCGCTGCAAGTGCGCGCCCGAGCGTGGCCCTCTCCCCCGCCCCAACTCCCATACCTACCCTGCTGCATGTGGAAGTCCTCAAACTGCCGACATACCTCAAGGTAGGGAGCACCCTCCACGTCGAAGCCGGTGTGAGACAACAGATACCTTTTGGCTTGTCGAACAAGCCATGTGTGGTACTCGTCGAGCTGAAGGTGAGAAGTACTGAACATGTCGTCGACGGGAGTTCAGTAAGAACGCCACGCAGTGTGCAGGCTCCATCATGTGGTGAATACGGGCCTGCACACGCCTCATGACGCGGTCAGAAAACGAGTGGCCGAGAGGTGCGCAAGCGTCCCGCACGAGGCGTCCAAGATCATGAGTCCACTCTACAACGAGGGACATGAACTGGCCGCCACGATCCATCCGCCTCAACCACTCCATGACGGGCTCCATAACGTGTAAGATGGCCCGCATCCTCTCCCACCAAGGGGACCACCTGATCTGGCGGCGCACCCAACGCGCCATGTCGCAGACGTCACGTGACCACGGGATCCTAGCCCAAGCCCGCCCGTCCTCCCCTCTCATCATGTCCTTCAAACAATCCTGCAGAGCCAACAGCCTCTCCAACATGGAGTACACTGACGCAAATCGCGTCTCACATGAAAGTACGAGCCCCGAAGCTCCTCCTGTGCGCCTCCGGAAGAAGCTAAGAGCGGCCTGGTGGGTTTCGAAAAACACCACCAGAACTCGGGCACGTGTGATCGTGTCTGCAAAAGAGGTGCAAATCGTGCCAATGTCTGACAACAACTTGTTGCAGACATTGACGGAGCACGGGAGCCAAGTAATCCTCCGCAGCTCAAGGGGCATAGCTGCGTCGGCCAAAGCCCTCGCAGCCCCCACATACGCAGAAGCAGAGTCAGTGCATATAGCATTGACCGGCTGTGGGCCACCAAACCTGAAATCGTGGAAGATGGTGACCCATCTCTGTAGAACATGCACGGAATCATCCGGCTCCCCCTCTCGGTTGATCGTCGTGTACAAGACGACCCCTCCAGACCCCGATGCGAGGAAGTTCACAATCGGTCGCCCGTCTCGTGACTTCCTCCCGTCAGAGAGGAGGGTGGCACCGCTCGACCAAAATGGTTGCCTAACCTCCTCCAATTCCTCCGCCAACTCCTGGCGGTGGATCTCCACAGCTCGCATGCTCGCGATCTCGCTGTGGGAGGGAAGCACAGGCAGAGGTGCTCCACCAGGATGCTGAAGTGCCACCTGCTGGAGGTCCCTCCACGGCGTGTTACGGAAGGCATTGAAGGCAACCCCGCTGGAGTACGCCCAGCGAAAGAATGCCTTAATCCAACGACCGATCCACTTGCCACCATATGTGTTTGTCACCCTCTGCTGCCGCAGCCTCTTCCCGGCCTGCGTGGCAGGAAGATCTGCACCCCCGTCCTTCCTTTTGGAAGAACCAGGCGTATCACGAACAGGAGTCCTGATGAGTGACCGGATCGACCTCGGGCACGGCCCCCTCTCCCGTCGCCGTCCGCTCACCCTCTGCCATGCTACCCTCGAGGTCGACTCCCGCCTCGCCCTCCTCCGCAACACCGGCGTCCGCCCCTTCTCTCGCAGCACCACCCTCGGACCAACGTTGGGTATCCTCTCCCCCGCCGACGCCCTGTCCACTCCACTCTGCCTCGCCACCCATCACTCCAGACCGCGGGACATGTAGCCCACGCTCCTGTGCGTAGTGCCAGACCCTCTCCGCCTGGTCGGCCTCGAAGCGGTGTGTGCACTTCTGCGCAATGTCAAACAACGCTTCGTCGGACACCTTCTTGCAATATTGTGGCTGGGTGAAGTGTTTTGTCGCGTAATATTGGGTTCCCTGCCACACCTTATTGCAGAAGGTGCACCGTAGCATCCTAACCCCCCGGGTGTCGACCGCCTGGCCGACGACAATGTAACGGTACACAGCCCCCTTGCGCCTTAAATCCTGCTGCACATTTTCAGGCGCAGGCTCATGACTGCGCGTCTGTTGTCGCGGCATCGMGGACCCCCCTCAAAGCCGCGCCTGTTCGGCTTCAAGGCAGTCCCCTCGSTCSMCCCACCMCASCMGCCACTAMGCMMCCCCCCCCCCCCCCCCCCCCMSCSSYSCYMCMSMCSSCCYYSSCCCCMSYCSMCCCCCGTCGAACCCCGTTGAACCCTGTTGAACCCCGTTGAACCCCTTTGAACCCCATTGAACTCCGTTGAACTCCGTTGAACCCCCGTTAAACCCCCCGTTGAACCCCCGTTGAACCTCCGTTGAACCTCCGTTGAACCTCCGTCGCACAGTCATTGCAACCCCGATGCGCTCTGACCCTTTAGCGCCGCACAAGAATCTCCATTGCACCTGCATTAACACAAAAAACAAACGAAAACCCATGAGTCCAACTAAAAAAACAAAACGACAACAGCTCTCTCTCTCTCTCTCTCTCTCTCTCTCTCTCTCTCT